ATTTATAGTTTTTTTAATCATATGGAAGATAGCTTTTCTGATTTTGTAATAATATTGTTGTATTTAAAAATTTTTTTATATTCAATGTTTTTTTTTTATGAACAGGTATAATCTTTATTCAAACGATATATTGTCTCAATCCCTTACTGAACAAGAATATAATTCTTATGTGTGGACACCTCTATTATGCAATGCCTTTATGGCTAAAAGTGATATTCGAATTTCTAGGTATGTTTAAATGTTTAAATTACTATTATTATTATATACTTTTTGTGATGATTAATTTACATTATACAATTCAGTGGTGAGGTTTCATCTATAGCGTATGAAAAATTAAAGAAGCTCGCACAAGTTCAAACAAATAGTGGTCCAAAAATAGACTCAAGAGCAACTATTATGTCAATTAGCCAAGAAGTATTAATCCAAGAAAATGGAAGATATGATACAGCTAGTAAAAGAAAAAGCGATTTATCAAAACTAGAATATTGCGCAAAGGTGTTACTCACCAGTGCATACCTTGCTTTGCCAACTGTTGCCCGTCCAGACATTTATAAATTCGAAGTATATGCTATTCAAACGAATGGTAAATAGTCCTATATACGAATATGTTTTTTTTGTAATCTCCATAGTTGATTAGCTAAAATATTATCTATTTGAGCTAATTTGTTAATCTAATATTCCCCCAGAACTTTCGTTATCACTATTTGTAGCATCATATATGTATGAAAATACAATATGCATGCTTGGCCTAACAGATATTATAATTCCACGAACTGTTGATGCTTTTCCAAAATGCATTGAAGCAGTTTATAAAGTATTATCATGGAAGGTTTGTATTCTGTTTATTGCGACTCTTATTGATATTTCAGTTTATTAACTAATTCAAATCTATCTAGGCACGATCCCGAAATAATACCAAAATTTTTCATGAATTAATTGAAAAATCGACTTCTCAATTACATGAAAAAAAATATTTCACTCCGAAAAAGCTTGCAAATAAATCAAAATCGTAATTGACAAATGTTCAAAGGTTATTATAGCTATCTCAAATAAAAACTCGTTTTATAGAGCGGAATCCTATAGTTATTGCCACATGTTTTGTATAAGAAAATTTTTCTTAACAAAATGTGACTGTTATAATATACTTATATTAATATATTAGTCGTTGCTTTCAGATAATGAAATATATGGTTGCAAATTTTTGATAATGATTTAGTTTGTATTTTTTTTACCGTTAATACTATTACCTGCTTGTAATGCCGATCAATTTTGCAGAAAGATACCGATATGGGAATATCTAAGCCCGGTGTGTTTATACGTACGTATAATTTAACTTATGTTAATTAAAGTTAGAGTTAGGGTAGTTATAAATTAGCTTTTGCCTATTGTAACACTTAACAATAGGCAAAAGTAATAAATTACTTAAGTTATACGTATAATAAAAAATACTATTAAGGGTAATAATCTATTACTAAATTTTCTTTTCATTTGATATATTGTAGTATAATTTACTTTATTTAACTAGAAATAACTAATTAATAAAATAAAGATTTAATTTTATTTCTGAAAATATAGCAGGTTACAACTTGTACGTTGAGAAGGTGTGAGTTGGTTCCCAGACCGATACTAGTCCGGAGGCTATGTCCCACGAGGAGTCGGGTCTACAAACAATCAACACTAACACTACAAATCCAACAATCAACCCTAAGTTGGAAGGCTGAAAGAGGTCGTGGAGGATTTGGTCCGGGTTTTAGGATTACAGAGAGGATTTCTTTTTTGTGTTAAGGCCCAATATTTTTGTCATAGTAGATTTTTTTTATCTATACTAACATTTGCTTCTATATTATAGAGTTCAAAACTTTTATTATTGATAACATTCTTTATTATATTTAGTAAAATCTCTAGGGCTAGAGGAATTTATGTATTATTGAAATTGTTCTCTCTAAAGGCCATATTAATTATATCTTAGACTTTTAGGACCTGTTCTTCAGTAAGTATCACAGATAACATAGCACATTCATTTTCTAATCTTACTATTTTTTGATTCATATTTTTAGGTAGTTAATTTTTTGTTTGGTGTTGTGAATTTCACAGTCACTACCTATTGAGAAGGTATGAACCAGTTCTGGAATAGAACTCGACTAGAGGTTCTGGTCACACCAAGGTTCATAGATCAACAAATCAACAAACAAACACTACAAATCCAACAATCAACTCTACATTGGAAGGCTAAAAGAGGACATGGAGGATTTGGTTCAGGTTATAAGGTTGCAGAGAAGATTTATTCCAGTAAGTATTGTTTGGTTCTTGGACTTGTATTATTGTTCCTTCATGGTAATTATCTTTTGGCTTATATTGATATTTCAAGTCACATAGCATGTAATCTAACCTTCTTTTACGATTGGTTATTAATTCTAACAATAGAAATCTATAAGACTAACTAAGAGGTTATTGTTTGTCTTAAATTGTTATATATTTTGATTAACGCAGAGTCTTAACTATAACAATTCTCATAACAATAATGAATTTATAATAAATGGGAGACAAGGTTACAATACTTTTACTTGAATTTTGAAGTATTGGACTTATAAACAATGAACTTTTTAGAGTTATCAGAACTCTTACTAAAAGTTGCAGTTTTTGAACTTATCAGAAGTTATTTTTATTGAAGAGCAACTTGCATTGCTTTTATAGACAAATTTATATAGAATAAAAATAAGATAAAAAATATAAAAAAGATAATTTAGATCCTTACTATCTGAAGGATAAAATTAATCCTTCAGATCATTTTTATCTAAAGGATAAAATTGATCCTCTAGATCATTTTTATCTAAAAGATAAAAATAATTAATATGATTTTTAAGATCGCAAGAATCATACATATCAGCTATATCAAACTTAGTACTATATCAGAAGGTAGTACATTCAAGGCAAGGTATTTTTAACCTTTACAACATTAAGTCTGGCCAACATAAAATTGGTTCTCTGCAGAGTATTTAGAAATCTCTATTAATATTTAACTACACTTAATTATATTTAACTATATTTAACTATATTTAACTATATTTAACTATATTTAATTATGTTTAACTATATGTAACTATGTTTAATTATGTTTAACTATTTTTAGCTACATTTGATAATATTTAATTATATTTGATGATTTTTAGCTATGTTTAAAGATATTTAGAAAAAGATATAAAAACTTTACTTTTTTCTTCTTCTGTAGAAGTTAGGTTTGTCCTCTACAATCTTCTTAATATTAGAATTCTCTTTATATAGAAACTAATA